TACTAAGACTTTTACACAGTACCAAATATTTTTAATAATTTAGGTTATCTCTCAACAATAACCTCCTCAGTTAAGATCATAGAGCTCTCAAAAAATCAGGACACAACACAAGTTGACTGTATGACATGCAGGCAGGGGAACGCACACACATGTACACAAACACATTACTGTCACCAAAAGATTAGTGCATGTGGACTGTGTGGAAAATGTAACAAGTTGCCAAAGTTGTGGATTAACTAAAGGAAACCAAATTAACACAAATATAGATGCAAATTATCCAGTAAATCCTTGTGAAATTCCATTTGCCCGCCTAACGTCAGCGTGTCCTGGTTAGGGTTGCGGAATGTTAAATAAATATCCTTCCGGATTTGGCTCCCAGATCACAAATAGAGTGGAGTCACATAGTTATGAGTAAATATTTTTGATTTGTGACAGTAATGAGATTCAACTCTGAATGGGACTCATTGTCCTCTAAGTGAATCAAAGTGCCTGCTACCTTCATCTGATTTGGCTTAATTGTTAGTTATGTGCATGCTGCAGCATAAACATTATCCAGTACAGCCTTGCAATACAGAGACATGTGGTTAGACTAATAAGTGTCTATACAGTTTCCATGGAGTATGATTACGTGTACAGTGCTCACAGAAAGTCTTGGGATGCTAGCTTAATTTAATCGATTTATTGCTCATTTATTGATTTTCTAACAAGAATCATTACTTTATTATTTTGTTTACAATATTAGAAACAACCGGTAGTTTTAAATAAAACTTTCATTTCAAATAATAATAAATTGAAACCCTAATTATAGTTATTAAAGAGGTGTTCTGAGTTAAGACGTTCATTGACAAGCAGTCTCATTGGGTGCTTTTTAATTAGTATCACCTTTGCAATAACACAAACCACCAAATATTTGTGTTTGGTATCAAAATTGGGAGCGAGCAACTGCAATCACAATTAATAGCAAAACGGCAAGAAAAGAGCTGCATGAGTCAGTCAAAAAAATTATGACTCTTAATATATATAAAAAGGAAATGTCAATGTAGAGGATATATGAAGATGTGTTAAACATTACTTGTCAACGGTCTTTTGTTAAGAAACCAATAAGTTACAAGATTGTTATAGAATTAAGCAAGCATGCCTAGACTCTCAGAGAGCTCTGTATGTATGTGCCCTGCAATGCGCCGGCATTCCACCGGGGGTGCATCCCAGGATTGTGCTCTGTGCTGCTGGGATCAGCTCCAGGGCTCCCACAATCCTGACCGGGATAAATAGATAAAAAATGAATGTGTGTGTCAGCCAAACTACTCGATTAGGCCTAGTATAGCAGCAAAAATGAAGAGGATTGGTAAATTACCCTATTATATGTTTCAGGAAACAAGAATCAGAAACTGACATATTAAACTGTATATAAATCACATCCGATTTGCACATCTCAAATTCAGTAGCACATACACAAGATCTATATATGCTTTGTCTTATGAATAAGTTGTTTAGGACTGTTGGATAGAGCAGAGTTTCCCATCCCGGTCCTTGAGGACCCACAGAGTTCACATTTAGGCTCTATTGGGAGCTGGGAGGGAGCAAAAACGTGGGCTGTCTGGGGGTCCCCAAGGCCCGGGTTGGGAAACACGGAGATACAGTATATGCTATCTGTCATGCTGTCAAGGCATGGTTTTGTAAAGGGTCGTCATGTGACCCCACACTGTTGCTATTTCAAATGTGCTATAAAAAAGAGGTATAACCTTTCTAATGCAGCTGCTCCTAAGTCATGAGGTCCACTCTGCACTAAACTTAGAGCAAACAAACTTGCAGGAAGAGTTAGGGGAGCCCCCCCGCCTCCTCTATGGGAGACTGCCAAGCTGCCTCCATATGTCACTTTGTCAATTTTACATAAATACGTTCAGCACTGTTAAATAGTCTTTGTCACCCATGTCATTATTGAATGCTTTCTTTTTGTGGATCGAAAGAGCATGTACAGGGAATCTGTATTTTAAAAGATGAATAAAAAAATAATTTAAAATAAACTATTAAACCTTGGGTGATTCTTTCATTTCATGGTAGTGGGCAAGTTAATCAAACATCAAATCTTCGAGTGTATGGAGGGTGTTTTGTTACAATATCCAAAAAATAAATGTGTCATTTAAATGATTATTTAAATTACAATTTAAATTGTCATTTAAATGATTATTTATAAATATGTCATTAAAAGGGGCAATGACTGTTATTCTGGAAAGGATTCAAAGCCATATCTAAAGCTTCCATCAGAATCAATCAATGCCACGTTGTCCAACTGGAAAATGCTTATAACTGCAGTAAATCCCAGAATAGAACTGCATGCAGCCATATACTTGCCTCTCTGTCTTCTATTTGGGTCAGTCTTCCTGACACCATCATCATTACCACTAAAAAAACAGGATGTATGAAAAGTAAGCAGGACAAAATGGAAACATTGTTCACTAAAAAGAAGGTGATACGCATATTTTAAAAATCTTCTAGAACACTGAAGAAATCTGTTTTATTGGGTTTTTGGGATTCTTTGTTGCATCAAGATGTGGAGGAATTTCCATCATTGAAGGAATGAAATGTACTAAATAGTCTGTAGGAGATTGTCAGGTCATCTGTCCAAAAGGTGAAACTGCAGCTGGGTCACGCAGCGAGGCCTGTATCCCAAAGGATAATAATAGAACAGCATCAGAATTGCTGAAGGGGAAATGTGTCGAACTGGCCAAGTCAAACTATAGACTGAAAATACATCAAGACAATGTAACAAAACAAGACGTTCACCGAAGAAGCAGCTCTGTACAGAGTTGTGCTGAAGCTGACTCATGGTGAAGTAAAAGATCTGTGACTCTGGGGATCATTGAGGCACAATGTTGTAGTGGTACTGGTTTTGCAGACCAATAAACAAATTTCATAACTTTCAAATGTTGTGGCAGTTGTTCATTTAGTTGTGGCAGTGCTAAATGTTGTCCGCGAACTGTGAGAAATTTTGTGATGACCCCAGCCCCCCATTTACTGTGACTGGTATTCTGAAGTAGAGCAGCCTGACCATCAGTAGCTGTAATTAATTCATGCTTCTGATAAACTCATGCCAGTTGGGTCAAAAGAGCAGAGACCCGATGATATCCGATCTGCCAGACATCAAGCATTAAGCCCGAAACCTGCAACTGAGATAATCAAAGCATTTGATGGATTTAATTATCCTAAGATAGGCCTGGGTGATTATTTTCTATGGAGGGCCTATCCTGAGCTTCTCATTGTCAGCAGGGGCCATTTTTAATGATTATTTTCATGTCCCAAGAAAGCTACAACATGTGCAGAAATCAATAGAAACAGCACATTATATAACTTACATAATTATTATTAATTCAAAGAAAAAATCATGGATGTCGAAAGTCTGTTCATCTTCATAAATTTGAACATAAACCTTTTTTGTAATCAGGAAAGGATATTCTAAAGACCATGCAGCCCAGCAAATATAGCTCTGTAGGCTGGATATGTCCTGTGGGCCGGCTTTTGCCCAGGTCTGACCTACACCAACCAAAGATAGCCAGAACTTGTTGAATGCAGTAACAGATATCAGTAATTTAATCATTAAGCATTATATGCTTAGTAATGTAACAATTAAATTAATAATCTGATTACATTTTCTCAGCAACATGTTTATTGTATCTAAGAATTATACTCGTTGCAATGACTGTTAAGTATGGTATTTGTTTTATTTGTTATAAAGTTTTCTAATGTTAGTAACCTTAAAAATATAAATGGCGTATATCGCACTGTACATGTAGTATGATTTAATTCGAAGGCCTCGTAGGGGCGCCAAAAATCATAGCACAGTACCAACGGAAAAAATGATGAATGGCATTCATCTTGAGATTAATATGATTAAAAAATATCATCGCTACTCATGAATAATGAAAAAAGTTTGCCTTTGACGTTGGGGATTGTATGTGTTCTCCTCGATTGTTCCCTCCTGCAATCCACATACACGTCGTCTCTAAATATATAATAGTCGTGTATGACTGTGTCGTGCATGTGCCCTGGAATTCCGTCCGCGGTGTACCTTACCCCTGACGAGGATAAGCGGCTGGAAGATGGGGGGATGACGATAATAATAATAATAATAATAATAATAATAATAATAATAATAATAATATCGTCAAACAATGATGTGACTTGATGGTAGAATGCAATTTTTATAAAGTGGACTGATACAAGATCCCCTGTATAATAATAGCGGAATATATTAACTTGAAGGGTTTTCTGATGCGAGTCAAAAACTCACATGGTATACTACAGCAAAACCACGAAAGGCGTTTTCTAGTTATAAGTTAAATCTAGTCAGGAGCTCAGTGTAGATCTCTTCATGACGCTTTACGAGTAGAGATGTTATTTTGACGGCACAGTGATTCGGCAAACTTCAAAACACTGTGATTCTGTGTATTATAAAGGAGACATCTAGATTATTTATAGCTGTCAATCACTAAAATAACATCGCAATTGCATCTATCCATTTGCCTCTTTTGATATATTCATAATTTAAAATATATTTAATGTCATCAATTAATAAAATGAATTGCTATTTAATTTTACAAGAGGAAAACATTAAAATGCAGAGGTGTATTGTGTATTAAAATTTGCAACGTTAAGTACTTCTATGAAAGGTAGATGTGACCATTTAAGTATTTGTTACATTGTTACAATGAACGTACTGGTGGAATAATTACTGTTTCGAGTCATCGTAATCGAAATAGTTGGTATGGGGGATTAAGGCGTTCGCCAATAACCAGGCAAGGCTCAGATGTATAAATGGGGTAGGGGCTGTGCACGACGTAACGTTTCGCGGCGTATCAGAGGAAATACGAAGCGGAGGGACAACAGACGGACGTAGAGAGAGAGAGAGAGAGAGAGAGAGAGAGAGAGTGAATGGGACCTGCTTGGGTTACGTGCAGGAACGAACGGGGATATGTATCCTTAAGGATGGTGGGAGGGGAGGGTGAGTGCCGAGTGACGTCCCATTGCACTGCTACCCTTTTAAAGCCGCCGTCAGCTCTGATGCGGTCAGTGTTCAGCCAGCCGGTGGGAAGCGAGGTGCGCGGCTTCATTGGCAACTTAACAGAAGACGATTTCCTAACGCGCTCAACTGAAAGATAGATTGGCGTCTAAGATGGTCTAGGGGGAGATCACTGTTGGACAGGCGAATGTGATCGTACGTTTAGCGGCTAGGGAGCACTACGGCTCGCTGATTTTTTCGTCTCCTCTACAGTCTCCTCTTTGAGAGATACGTTCCCATGCGATTCTTCAGACTCACATTTAAGTGTTTCGTGGATTGTTTTTGAAGGTGCTGTCTACCTCGGTGATACCTTTTTGTGAACGCGTCTAATTTTATTTTAAATTGCATATTTCGATTTATTCTCGGACAAATTCACGTACATCTAATCTTATACCTTCCCAGTTTCACTGCGATCCTTTCTTTGGTTTAATAATCGAAAGGCACTTGCAATTTCAAAATTATAATCTAAAATAAAAATACTAGTGTCAACCATTCAGTTGACCTATCACTTAAACCCCTATACTGAAACACGAATTAGGGATCCGATTGTGTTTACATTTAGGGGTGGCAGACAGCAGGACAAAAGGACTTTTGGTGTGATTTCTTGGAAGAGAATTGAACTCTGAAAAACGATAAAGAGGACTCTACTATCTGGGACTGTATTGAATTGTATCATTATCGGCGGATCATCTTAATTGGTTTCCCAATCAAGCAGAGCTGTTGGAGCAGTGACAGTGCTTTGTTTGCGAGTGAATACCTGGGATGGAGAAATCAACCCTGAACAGAGAGTGCTGCAGCGTGAATGTCCACCTTGTTGAGGAGAAGAAGGGTCAACTGATACCAAATGGAAGTGGACACCAAGGTGTGAATGGAGGCCTGGTTGCAAGTACCGGGACAGCCGGACCAGCAACTGCCCCTGGAACAACGCCCCAAATACAGCCAGTGTACCCCCAGCGAGAGACCTGGACCAGACAAATGGATTTCATCATGTCCTGTGTGGGGTTTGCCGTGGGGCTGGGCAACGTGTGGCGTTTCCCCTATCTATGCTACAAGAACGGTGGTGGTGAGTATGCTCTTGAACACCGAGTTATAAAAAAACATCTTCAAAAATATTGTTTGTTTGTTCTGTTCAGTGCATACAGTTGTCTCATCAAAGTTGAAGAGTAGGCTATTTCCCACACTCACAAAGGGTGTATTACAAACATCTGTCAATGATCAAAATTTAGACTGTTTCTGTCAGGAGATGTAACTGTGTAGAACTGATAACTTGTTGCAATCTAGTAATAGAGAATCATATAGTCATGATCTTGCAGATAATTATCTTAAGTAATACAAAAATCCTCAAGTGCCCAATAAAGTGAAACGCCATAACACTGAATCCAAATATCTGCACATCCTTGCACGTAAAGTGAAACATGAGGCATCCCAAAAACTTACTGCGTCTCGTAACACATTACTAACCATGAAAATACATTACAGCGTCTAGCAAGGACAGGAGCTTTTTGCGTTATGTTTAATTGTCCGATGGGGCAAAATATCCATTGACCCGCATTATATTTTAAATTAGTTTGAAGAAGTGAAATGAAATTTCTTCATGTCCATAGAAAGTAAAGACCAAATAGGAGATGTCAAGTTGTCTGTGAGCTTTTTTTTTTATGTCACTGCATTATCACAGTGACACTACTGTTAAGCAACGTCTGTTTGCGTGTGTTAGTGCTTTCTTTAAGGCATATTTAGAAGTATTTCTGCTTTAAGTGTTTGTTCTATTTCCACATTATGAGCATTTAAAATTTTCATTTGTTCACCAGCGTACCTCGGTACCCGGCTACCGCAGGTCATAGTGACACAGCTGTGCATCCATTTTTATCGCCTGCTGATATCTTGGTAACGCATTACGGTAGATACCCTGGCATCCCTGACTCGTGATCATGTCTGACGTAGTAAGGATCACGTATAAATGAATACATGAGGGGGCATTGCTTTCTCTGCAATGATGCGAACATGAACGATTACGTTACCGTGACGTCGGTGGATGTGACCATGAATGCGGCTTGTTGAAGCCCTTGTGCCGAATCAATGAGATGCCTGCCTGGTCAGTCTTGTGTGTTGAGTTATGCGCTTGCCCACGCGTAAAGTGCGAGCTGCGTGTTTCCTAAGTTACGCAACATCATCAGCTGAATACTAGACACATGGCGTATCAAATACAATATTATCCACTGATTCCTATAGTGTAAACATTATATTTCATTTTTAATAATGTGGTGATTGTTTTCTTAAATGGGCTTTTGTAACTCACCATTAGAACAAAATACACAATATATTTTATTTCGCAGGGAATAACCAAGCAAGCTTAATATCGAATTGCCGGATTGATGGAGAAGGTCGTTTGTCGCCTTTCAGCTACCCACAATCCCCGTAGTCAAATTAATTTGCATTAGCGGTCCTTGCCCTTTGCGTGAGGTCACGTGACAACGCTGGCGGGGAGGGGGGGCGTTTTGTCTCGAACGCTCCGTCGCGCTCGTCTTCAGCGTGAAATAGCCGAATTGTAATTAAAATAGCAAAAATTTTGCAAATGGTGCTTTTCGTGAATCCAAGATGGCTGACATGGAGAGACCGCGAAAACAGTTACTTTTAGTCACAATTCACGGGTGGGTTGGGATATTTTTGGCGCACCATTCAGGAGCTTGGTAAAAATAACTGGATAGAAATGTTAAATGCGCCTATATTTATGTGTATAGTTAACTTGTTAAACCTTTTACATTATTTACTGCAAAGGTTTCAGTGATCTATATGTCAATTAGCTACTGTATGCCAATGATAAAGGGATTATGAACCGAAATACTGTATGTTATTGACTCACTTACGTATCTAATCACCATGACTTCCGTATTTTATTTTCTGTGTGCTGGCATTTAACGTGTTTAAATTAAGACATATTGAAACGTTTGGTTAGGCGAGACGCTTATTATATGCAAATACAGCTGACTAGTTGTTTGTTTATTATTTCCTTAATTTACCTAAGAGTTGTTTAGTTTAATCATGTTATCCTGTATTAATGCAATAATTTTCATGTTTATATTTAGATGCTAGAGAGTCTGGGTGTAACGGCTGAATTTACCGTGTACGTGTAAACTCAGTGAATCACTCTGGATCTCCTACTGCATGGAAAAGTCCCATAACTGAATGACACATCAGACACTGAAAATAAACTAAACAGGAATAAGTAATCTAAATTAATGTACCAGACAGACAAATATAAATGTTAAATTTAAGGGGGGAGCATCAAGCGTCTAATATTGGAATAACTAGACACATAGTGCAGTTTCAGAAAGAGGCAACAGGATCAGAAGGGAAGAGGGTGAGAAAGCGATGTGATGGGATAGGTTCAGATATACCATGAAGCTAAAACAGTCAAGGCAAGGTTTCCTCAGTCATTCAGATTGCTGTAGATCATGAAAAATGTCTGGCAGTACCTGGAGTAAACCAAGGTTAATAATTACGGCAATTTAGCTTTTCTTGGTAAACTTTTTCCTAGTAAAAATGACAGCTTGACAGATGTATGTTATAAAAACTTTACTTAATGGTCCTATACAAGTGTTCCCTGAGTTTAACTGATTTATGAACTGTGAAATTACTCTGCCTTTGTATTTTGACTTGGATTGCTAATAGAACATAGACAGGAATGTTAACTTACCCCGTTGACATTTGAAAGTGCTGGTCTCCAGCAGGCTCAAAAGATCAAGCTTCTGGTGGGCTGAGCTAGAAATGAATTTCAGGTATAATTACTTTTCTCATAATTTATTCAAATTTATGCACTGAATGAATTTCTGATGTCTAGAATGGTGTGTAATTTTTAAAAATAGATATGTAGCTGAGAAAGATATGTATTTCTGACATGAACAAAATGTCAGTCTGGCAGATACTGTGTCAGAGGCAACTCAGGTGGTGAGTGTTGATCATTTTATCTATTGTCAAAGAAAAACATCACTTTATGTCTCAATTTAATATCAAGCTGATGCCTCATTCCTAAGATGTAATATGCAGTTTGGCTGTAGTGAAAGGGTGAAATATTTTAAGCTATAACTGAATTATTATGGGAATATTGTTATGCTGTCATGTAGCAGCCTGCACGCTGAGGAGCATTTTACTGGGTACCTGATATCTTCAGGCAATGCTTGACACCTCTCAGTGTCAGTTTTCATGTGCTAGGAACAGACATGGCTAAGCGTAGGATTCTTAAGAGAATTTCTCCCACAATCCTCTCAGTAGCCACTTTAGTAGTTACACCTGCTCAAAAATGCAAACAGCCTGAAGTGGTATGTATGGGGTATCGCATGCAGACGGGGTCAAGGGGTTCGCTTACTGTGCGGCTAAGCATCACAATGGACAAGATGTGTGATGTAAGTGTGAACGTGGTGTGATTGTCTGGGCCAGGCGTGGTGGTCCCAGATTCTCAGAAAAAGCCGCCGTCCTGGGATTTTCACGCACTACAGTATCTGGAGTTTACACAGACTGGTTCGACAAACAAAAACACTCTGTTACAGACCGTTTTGTTACTGAAAACACCTTGTTAATGAGAAACAGGAAAAGAGCATGGCCAGACTTGTTAAAGGTGACAAAGTACAGAAAAAACAGTTAATTGCAACAGCGCTGTGCACCGAGGCTTCTTAGAATGTACAACTCACCGAGCTTTGAAGCGGTTCTGCAAAAAAATGGGTCCTACCTGGTATTAAGCAGGAGTACCTAATAAAGTTTCAATAAATTTTTGGTCCCAGGAAAAAGAAATACAGCTTGTCATGACAAATTATTTTGTGAATTTATGATTTTATTTAAGTACTAAGCCCAATAGTTCACATGATTAGATTCCTTAAATTTGCCCTAAATTGATGTGGATCTCCTCTACAGATTTTGAAAACCTATGAAGAATCTACAGTACATAAAATATTATTTTGAGCTGATCTAGTTAAAGTCCACACCTAAATCCCGTTGAGATATTTTGGAAACTATAAGTCTATAACCATAAACTGACGAATGTGACTGAGTTAAAGTAGCTCTTCAGTAAGTACAGGAAGTGTTAGATTATAGTCGTCACTGCCAAAGGTGTTATAACCAGTAATTCAGTGTAAGTGTTAAGTAATTATTCATATGGGGTTAGTATGTGTTACATAACATTAATAATATTCAGTGTAAAAATCAGTCTTGGGAAATAAATTATGGCCGTCAAATGTTATAAATTTAACAAGTTTGGATAGATGGTTGTAGTATACCTCTATTTTGATTTATATTTTAAGATGGGTATGTATTTCAAAATATGAGTGATGGTATGTATAGTGTAGTATTGTATCTAATCACCAGGGTATTTATCCTTAACTTCCTCAAAACTGTTTAATATAGAAAGAAAACTGATCAGATACTTTTTGTGGTTCAAAATAAGACATCTGTTTCAATTCTGGGTTAGCCAGGCAGTGGGTATTTGTTAAAGGAAAAACATATTGAAACAACAACTGATAGAGAGTAAAATAAATCATGCAGGCAACCCTGATCATCTAGAATAGATGTATTGCAGAAAGGTGATATTTCATGAAAACACCTTTGTGTTCTCTTGAATTTCCTTTTAATCTGGTTTGAGCTAAAGTATTATCTTTGCAAACTATACCTCTCCTTGCAGGATGCCTGATCGAATTATGTTATCGTTCCATGTTTCGATATGTTTATCTTTTCTTTGTCAGCCAAACCAAGTTGGATGTGCATGTTTACTTTCCCGAAGGGAACCAGCATGTGTTGCTTTCATGGTCGCCTTTCTTTTCCTCGTACTATGGGGAGGATCTATTAAGACGTTTTGCGTTTCACTTGTAACTGTGTTCACATCACAGGTAATATAAACACTTTCTGTTTTATTATGTCTCATTTTTCCAGCTAAGAATGTGCGCATCACTTTTTTACTACAATATCTTGCACTGATATTTTATTAAAACGCGATTTATCCTTAGATCTTGCCAGTACATTCTTTCCACACTGAGCATTCTCCTAAAAGTCATTCTGTCAGTGGGTGATGGTTGCTTT